AACCGTAAGGCTAGCTCGCGCAGTGGGAGAGGCGGGAGGGGAGGGGGGCGCGTGCTCGCCGCCCGGCGTCGGCGACCCCCGGCCGCAGCCGCCGCCTCGCGACGCGGGAGCGGCGGCGCGGCTGCGCGACGAGGAGCCGGCCGGCCGAGGGGCATCCCGAGGTAGGTGCCGGCCGGGGGCATCCCGTGGTGCTGCGTGCGGGCGGCGCGGCAGGGGGCGGGGGCGGCGGCTCGTTTGTGACAGCTCCGACAGCAGCGACGGGCCGTCATGCTGTGTATCTAAAATCCACAAAGAGGAGAGAGTGGTTGGTTAATAATAAAAATCTCCCTCTCAAAGAGGATTATTTTCCTGGAAATCCTCGTAGCTCTTATATGACAGGCTTTCCCTTTCCTCATATCCTCCGCGGCTCCCTAGACGGGTCCTTTCAGAGAGAGATTTTTAGCACGGACGGACACGGAAAAACACCCCCCTTTTATGCCTGACCCTGGGCATGGCCTCTCTGTTTGTGAGCTGGGTCGGCCACCTCCGGGGCTGCAACTCGCACGGTGGGTCCGCATCCAGGCGAGCATCCGAGGCCTGCGGTTGTCCCTTCGCTGGGCGCGACCGCCATGGAGATCCGCTGCACACAGATCAGTGTTTTTGGCGACTATTGCTCGCTCTCTGTGCACTCGCAACGCCAGAGGCCGTGCTTGGAGAATGGGTCGCAATGCTGCTGCGCCAGTGGATTGAGCCGCTCCGCAAGCTCCATCGGTGAGCTGCGGTGGCGCGCCGGCCGCTTCATGCATAGCTCTCCGGCGAGCGACCGCAAACGCGTTTTCCGTCCGCCCGTTTCACCAGAAAGCTGTATTCACACCTACCCTTCCAAAAAAAAAAATGTCCCTGCTTTTGTCGAAGATCCGGCGGGTTTATCGGAGCATCACCCGTGAGGTAGTGCATCTGACTATCCCGGATCCTGCTGAACAAGCTCCTCTTGTAGCTCGATCGGTCACACCGCCATCGCCGTCGGGGAGAGGGGGGACGACACTGCTTTGGCAGCGTGCACCCTCGATCCTGTACCGTGTTTGTTATGACCCCCCCCAATGAACACACCAGTGAGGGTGGGCGAGACGATCGAGGGGTCCCGTACCATGCGGAATCGACCCTATCCAGTGCTCAAGTGCTCAAGCAATACCAAACAACTCACAACAACTCTAATGCAGGCGAGCGAGCGTCTCGCATGCGCGACCAGTAAAAGAGAGAGAGAGAGAGAGAGAGAGAGAGAGAGAGAGAGAGAGAGAGAGAGAGAGAGAGAGAGAGAGAGAGAGAGAGAGAGAGAGAGAGAGAGAGAGAGGAGAAAAGAAAGAAAAGAGACACGCCAAACGAGGGATGGGACGAGGATCGAGGACAGGGTCCCCACCTGCACGAGCAGGATTTTGGAAGAACGATCAGGGGGACAGGTGGGGCTCTCCTGCTCCTGACAAGGGACACGACAGGCTCGCAGCGCGGTGCGCGGTGGACTCCCACGAGAGAGATGAGAAGATGTAGTTGTTCGCCACGATTTCTTGGTTTCAGAACCTTGCCGCGCCGGTCGCTGGGCGGCATGTACCTCCTCGCGCTTGCCCTCGCTGCTGCTCCGCCGCGGCCGCTCCTCCCCACTGCGCACAGCGGCGTCTTCCGGGCCGGCACGCCGGCGATGATGGTGCATTCGGTGAGAAACCGGCAGCAGCCCTTCAGCGGCTGGTCTCGCTCCACTCGCCAGACGTCGACGTCGACGACCACCTCGCAGTTCCTCGAGGCGCAGAAGCCTCGGTCGATGGCGGCCGCGTGGATCGACGGCGGCGTCCCGCGGTGGGTGACGCTGGTAGACGAGGTCCTCTTCGTCGTCGCGTCGGCCGCCTTCATCAAAGGCTCGCTCGACTTCTTCCCCGGCGTGCCGCTGCAGTCGTACATCGAGGGCATCAACCTCTTCTTCGCCGGCTCCGCCGTCTACACCGTCCTCGCAGTGTTTGCGGCGTACGAGATCGTCGAGGACGCAAAGCTGTCTGGCCGCGAGGCGCCGCCCGCCAAGCTCGTGGAGCAGGCGCTCTACCTGCTCGGCTCGGTCTTCTTCCTCTTGGGCACCGCAGAGTTCACGCCGCCCGCCGAGTCGTCGGCCGAGGATGCGGCCGTGAGCGTGAGCGTGCTCGGCCGCACCTTCTTCCTCGGCGCGGCAAGAGCTGCACCTGAGAGAGGGCGCAGACACGTCCACGACACGTCCCGGACACGTCCCGCAGGCTCGGCGGCCTCCATCCCCGAGGACACGCTCGCCATGGGGGAGCGAGCCTCTCCCGCCTCCTCTCCCCGCGAGCCGCGCCCCTGCTCACACCCCCCTGCTCACACACCCCCTGCTCACACACCCTGCTCACACCCCCTGCTTCACACACCTCCTGCTCACACCCCCCGCCCCTCCGGGGACCCCGTCTGGCCAGGACGAGCTCTTCATCCTCGGCTCCTTCCTCTTCTCGGTCGCCGCGTTCATCTCGGCGATCGACGTCTCGGGAGAGAGCACCGGCGACGAGGTCTCGGTGCTGCAGCGACGCACCTCCGTCGCCGTCGCCTCGCTCTTCGAGCTCGGCGGCGTCGCCTTCATCATCGGCACGACCCGCCGCCGCCCAGTCGGGGGGGAGGAGCGCTGCTTCACGGCTAGGGAGTGCCGTGCGCCTAGGCACGCCCTGCTTCTACCCCGCCGGGCCGATGGGGATGAGCGCGTGCCCCGAGGGGACCGAGACGCTGACGAGAGTCGGCGCCGCGCTCTTCGTCGCCGGCTCCGTCTTTTACACCATCGGCCCCCTCCTCCTCCCTCCGCCCTCGAAGCCGCGACACGCCCCCGACACGCCCCCGACACGCCCCGCAGGCTCGCTCATCATCCTCGCCTTCGAGGCGTGGCTCACCTTCCGGGGAGACGAGCCGGGCCCCGACCCGCGCGCGGCGGGCGGCGTGGGCAGCCGGCAAGGAGGAGGGGCGGGGCTGCAGGCCGGCGTGCCGCCGACACGGTGACGGGTCAGCAATCAGAGACGGAGAGAGGAGGGCCGGGGGCCGCAGTAGTAGCCAGTACGATGTGGGCCGACAATTATGTCAACGTACACACACACACACACACACACACACACACAGTGGAGAGATAGCATAACTGAATCAAAAGGCTGTGAATCGTCTCGACACCACGCACGACGTGCGGAGAGCGTGTCAAGTCACAAGTGCACGTTTACACACACGTACGACATAGCACAAACCCCCCAGTGCACGGGCGTCATGCTTTTATAATTACCCCACCTACCTATAGACGCGTGTGTGTACACTATATGTTCGTCGGCTCTCTGGTGCGCGGCTGCACCAACGCTTTCGCTCTCTGCGCCTCTCTCACAACCTCCAAAATCACTCAAGTTGCGCATCCGGACTCTCTGTCGTTCTGGCCGTGCTTCCGGCCCCGCCGCCTCGCTCGCGCCCGGCCACCTCTGAAGGCTGCTCGCCGCGCCAAAAGCCGCCGCCGTACAGCCGGAGGAGGAGGAGGAGGAGGGCCTCGCTGCCCCCGATCGCTGCGCCGCCGTAGAGGAAGAGGGAGCCGACAGCTTCTTCCCCTCCGCCTCTGCTGCTCGACCCGCCGGGGCGGTGCGGGAGGAAGCGCTGCACAAAGGCGCCGGCGAAGAGGCCGGTGAGCAGCTGGGCGAGGGGGAGCGTGTTGTTGGCGAGGGCGATGACAGAGGCCTGTGGGGGGACGGGGCGGCGGACAGTGTGCGCGGGGGGGTGGGGCATGCTGCCGAGGAGAGCTGCCGCCTGCCGGCCAGCTGCAGTGCCCGAGGGATGGCCCTGTGCGAGGCTAGGGTCAGGGGTGGGAGTCAGGGCTAGTGGCCGGCTTGACCTTGTGCGACGCGATCGCGCTTCCGATCACCGCCTCACAGAGCGAGAAGATGGAGGCGCTGTGCGGCGCGAGGCTGAGGCCCGACAGCGCCGCGAGCAGGAAGACGAGCCCAGGCCTCGCTCCGGGGGAGGGGGCGCCCCTCGTGCCGACGCAGCTCGCGACGAGGAGGAGCTCGCCCGCAGCCCACACCTGCTCGCAGCTGGAGCCGTGGAGAGGCCCACAGCTCGCCACGCGCAGCTGCCCGCACCCCTGCACGCCGTCGCGGTGCCGAAGCGGCGGCCGAGCAGCGGGAGGGCGAGCGAGGTGCAGATCGCGACGAGGGCCTGGAGAGCGAGGCTGCAGAAGGCGAGTCGCAGCCCGCCAGCCGGCAGAAGCAGCGGCACGTGCAGCGGGGTCGACACGCCGACCTGCGGACAACGGACCGGAGAGCGTTGGCCTTCTCCCTCCCTCCTCTCGCCTCTGCCCCGGCTCGGCCGCCCACCCACTCGGTCCACCAGAAGGCCTGGCACTGGATGAGAGTCCAGCCGAGGAACTGGCACGCCAGCAGGAGGGCGAGCTGCGCGCGGCTGTGCCGAGGGAGGCGGCGAGCCTAGGCGGAGAGGAGCCAGGGGGCTGGGCGAGGGGGCGGGAGGGGGGAGGAGTGCCGCCGGTGAGCCGCGCGCCACAGACAAGAGCGACTCCGCAGCCTCCTCGCACACTGCAGTCCCGGCAGCCTCCTCCTCCTCCGTGCCTGCCGCCGGCGCCACGGCGGAGGGAGGGAGGGCGGAGGCGGCCTCGGAGGCGGCTGCGGGCAGCAGCGGCGCTGCGTGGCGCTCTCCCGTCGGCGCGTGCGAGTCGGCGGCGCCCGCGACGAGGGCGGCGGTGACGGCGCTGGCGAGGAAGAGCGTGCTCAGGTTGAGCAGCGCGACAAAGTGGCGGTAGGAGCCGTCGGGCTCGGCGCTCGCCCCCGCGGGAGCAGTGGCGCCGCGGGGCGAGAGGAGGGCCTCGAGCGGCGCACTCCCGGCGAGCAGCGCCAAGAGGCGGCCCGCCATCTGGAAGGCGGTGAAGTCTGCGTCGACGCTCTCCGCAGTCCTGCCGCCGCCGCCGAGGAGGTCGTGGGCGAGGGCGCGGCCTGGAACGAGGAGAAGGTCATGCGCACAGTCCATGGCGGTGAAGGCGGCGAAGACTGTCACCACCTCTGACTGGCGGCCCCAGCCGAGGCGGCCAGCCAGCTCATGCGACCACGCCACCACCTGCAGCCCGACCACGGCCAGCAGGCCGAGGAAGAGGAGGAAGGGCCGCCTCCGGCCGAAGCGAGAGGTGCAGCGGTCGCTGGCGTGGCCGACCGCTGGCTGCGCCACGAGGCCGATGCACGGGTTGATAACATAGACCAGCCCCGCAATCGTCGCCGACAGGTTCAGGCCTCCGACGAGGTGCGGAATCATGACCGTCTCTCCAGCCGCCCATCCAAACTCGACTGCCGCGCCCGTGAGCAGCAGGCAGGCCCTGCGGAGCCAACCGACGGCCATGGGCCGAGTGGAGGCCTGTGAGGGGCGGCAGTTGCAGGTCGCACGGCGCAGTAGCGATCGGGTCCGAGCGTACCACCAATTTCACCACTCCACGCCAGTGTCGAGGCGGCGAGTCCTCAGACAGTCTGACAGCGCGCGAGTTCTTTACCAAGTTGCAACTCTTGTTCCGCACTCGGCTGTGAACGCTGCTGTTTGCCGCCGGTTGAGCAGCACCCCGTCCCCATCCAGGTTGTTGGTTGCTGCCCCAGGTCCCGCACTATGTAGGTGCACTGCTTCAGCAGCGTGCACCTACCTCGATCGACGATCCTGGTCGCTGGTGTCGGTTGCGCAACCTTTTTGCCGACCTCCGAGCCCAGATAGCGCGCCGTGTCTGATCCTCGTCGGCATCTGCTTCCGGGCCTGGCGGCCCGCCACAAGGACTTAGGTGAGAAGTGCCCGCCGAAACATCGGAACGACGCTGCTCCGCTCGACTTGGTTGGTTGCTGGCAGCACCCCAGCACCGGGGGGTCCTGAGAGCTGTTGGTTGGTGCTCTGTTCACAGCACAGTGCGGAACAAGGGTTGCAACCTGGTAAAGAACTCGCTCGCAGGGCCAAGACGGCTATGGAAAAAGAAATAACTACGTTTGGAATAGGACTCCCTCCGGGGGCCCCTCTGCGCCGGGGAGGCGTTGTTGGAGGCTAGACGCAAGCGTCCGTCGCCCTTTTCAAACTCGGGGCCCACTCCGCTACGCTCCGACCCGAATTTGGAGGGCCTAAAAGTTTAAGGTGTTGCTGCGCAAAAGGGGTCGGACACAGGGCGCAGCTCATGCTAAGAGCTAGAAGGGGAGCTAGAGAGAACGACTACCCTGTCCCGTTATTGCGTACACCAACACCACAAAAGCTCTCTCTCCTGTCCTCACTCAGAGGGGGGTCACAACTACCGAGTCTCTCGACTAGCTGCCACGTTGCCGACCGAGAGCGGATCTCCTCTTGCTCCGCAAGGAGGGTGGCCAAGGCTGAGGGTTGTGGAGGGCTAGATGCGATCTCTATTAAGAGTTTGACTCACACGCTGGAACCACTCGGCCCACCCACAGGCCCAGTCTCAAGTGGCAGGGCGCTCCGCGCCTACCCAGCGGCGCGCTCCGCGCGTGCTTTCCAGCAGCGCGCTCCGCGCGCGGTGCTCTGTCTGCGGCAGTACTACTGCATCTTCCGCAGCTCCAGCAGGTATCAGCAGTGAGTTCACCGCCAGTTATCTGCGCCTCCGTTCGTCGCTCTCGTGCTTGATCGTCAGGCCGTGCTCTCACGTCCGCCGGAGCTACCTCGGCTATCGGAACCATTTTACAAGTTTGCCCGCCGACATGTCCCGGTCCGGCTCAGTCAAGGCAATGTCGCTCGGCGCTCGCTGGCTCCGTGGATGCTTGTGCTGCTGAGCAATCCAGGCGCACTTTGGCAACCGGCGGCAACGACTTGCGGCGTCAGCATTCGAACGGTTGCGTTGATTTGCTCTTGCTCCGCGGTATCTAGCCGGCGCGCTCCGCGCGTGTGTCTACGGCTTTAGCTAGCGCGCTCCGCGCGTATGTCCGAGTAGCACCAGCGCGCTCCGCGCGCACCATAATGAGCTCACTCACGCGCACCATAATCTCAGTGCCTATGCTTATAGCCACTAAAGCTCGTTTCTGCAGCTTGGGATGGCCCATGGGCCTTGCGCCGTTTATTTCTCTTGTGTTTAGACACCCCGGCAGCCGCGAGCCGGCACTCTAACACACAGCAAAAGAATTTTACAACAAAGCTCCCTCGCACGACACTGGCACGGGACTGGTGCGCAAGAGAATAATTTCCATTCGCGTTGATATGAAAAAAACACTCGATCATAGGTGTGTGTCGGAGACGCCGAGAGCCGGCTATCTCGGTGAGGAGCCGTCAGGGTCCACCAATTGATTTTCGCTGACGCTGTACGTCGTGCCGAAAATCTGTGGCTGGGTGAGCAGGCCAGGGTTTTGTTTGGTTTCGCGGCCACAGTTTGCAGCCACAGACGACAAGAGAGACGTGATTTCTTGTTGGTTTCCTAAAATCTCTCTCTCAGACGACCCTACTCTGTGACTTCGCGGAGCGAAGAAAATTTTATCGGAATACGCGTTGGAATACGGTGGAATACGTCCGTATTCCACTCTTCCCGCAATCACGACCGCGCGACAGTTGCGCAAGCATGACAGGCCCTCAAGCGGCTGCTTGGTACTTGCGGGTGCAGGCCGCCGTGATTGAGGACCGCCAGTCGAAGACGCTGCTGACCGACGAGACCTTGCAGCGGCTGCGGGCGCTGCGGCAGCGGCAGTGGCAGAAGGCGGCGGCAGACTTCAACAAGCGCCAGGACGCAGCAAGTGCGCGAGCCGACGCATCAATCTCGCAGCATGGCTCGCGGCTCACAAGGAGCGCGTCGCGCTCGGCATGACGACCGACGGTGGGACCACCACCGACCACTGCGACACCGAAGGTATGACCGAGGAGGTTGCGGCCGAGAACGCACCACCGCTGGTGAACGGAAACGGCTACGTTTGGGCCGAGAGCTACGGCGGCCGCCCCGGCTGGGTTCTCTGCATAGAGTAGGGCCAGGAGCCGCCGGCGTCAGGCGTGCGAGGCCCGGCTCTTGCGCACAGAAGCGAGCGGAGCGAGCCGAAGAGAAAATTTGAGGGGTACTTGCATGTAGAGCTCTACGTCCCTGTCTTTCTTGACTCTTGAGTGAGCTTTTGACAGCAGGACACGAGTGTTATACACAGTCGGCACGTATTCCGTTCCGCGCGTGCCCCGCTGAATACAAATACCGTGGGCTGATTAATAAGATCCGCGAGACCTCGAGAGAGTAGTGCCGAAGGCGCTCTTTTTGATCGCAGCCTACAGCTCGGCACGTTCCCCTCCACCTAGGCCGACGGGTTTGTTCCCCTCGACGTCACCAGGTCCCTCGCCTTTCCCGTTCCGCTCGCGCTTGCCCCGCCGCGTCGACGCACATATGGCCGCGGGGAGCTGCACGCCCGAGCGGCGCGACGCCTCCTGCTCACGCAACCCGCCGCTCCCTCTCCGCTCCCACCATGCGATGCGCTTCGCTCTGGCGCCCGAGCGGCTTCGCCAAATCTCGGCCTCACAATCCCTGCCACCTCCCGTTCGCAGGTGAGGCTGCTGCCATCGGGGAGCCGCGAGACGCGGCCGCTGCCGCTCGTTCCCACCCTTACACCGAGCGAACCCGCCCGATTGCCCCCACTCTTTTCCGGCGAGAGAGCGACGCAGCCCGCTCGCTTGCCAATCGCTGCCCGGTTCCAGTCCTAGCGCCGAGGACACGAGAGAGTGTGCCGGTCGTCGCGATGCTAACGCCGAGGCGTGCTGCCCGTAGGTGTGGCTATGACCTGGCTCGACCCTCTCTCTCTCTCTCTCTCTTTGAGCATCGCCTCTGCCTTCACAAACCTTCACAAACCACCACGCGTCGCGCGGTCGATTTCTTTTTGTCTGTGTAGGCGAGGCTCGAAGGGGAGGGGAGGGCGTGGGGGGGGGGGGGACTGGGGGGGGGAGTGACCTGGTTCGACCCCCCCCCCTCTCTCTCTCTTTGAGCACGGGCTCTGCCTTCATTAGGAAACCACCACGCCTCGGGCGGGCGATTTCTTTTTGTCTGTGTAGGCCAAGCTCCAAAGGGAAGGGAGGGCGTGTGGGGGGGGGAAGGGGGGGCTTGGGGAAGGGGGGCGGCGGGGTGGAGATTGCGACGATTGATCCAATTCTCGGAGATTCCGCACAAGTCTTCAGTCCCCAGTAATAATAGTAGTGCTCTGCACAGTCTCCAGTAACCAGTCATACAGGAGTGCTCTGCACAGGCTCCAGTCCTCAGTCATAATAGGAGTGCTCTGCACAGTCTCCAGTAATCAGTAATAATAATGGTGCTCTGCACAGTCTAGTGGCTCTGCACTGTCTCCAGTCCCCAGTCATAATAGGAGTGCTCTGCACAGTCTCCAGTGACCAGTAATAATAGTGGTCTCCAGTAACTCCAACCAGTAGCACTTTACTTCCACACGTTGTCCTTCACACAGCCTTCACATGAACCCGTCACACAGCCTTCTCCATGAGCTGCATCTATCGACTCTCTTTGGCGTGCATAACCCCGCGCGCTGCAGGAACTCGATCAACATGCTCGACAAGCTCAAACTCGAGCTCGTGCCGGCCGCCGGTGACAAGCTCGTGCTCAAGCTCTCTCCTCCGCCGCCGCTTGCTGACAAGCAGGTGTGCGTTAATTTGCACTGGCTCAGGGAGGGGGTATGCACGCAAGACTAGCCTCTCGCGTTCTGTGGCTGACAGGCGTCTCTGGCGGACAACACGACCGCCATCGACTCCGGCGGAGGCAACCCCGTCGGCATCCCCTCCGAGCCCGTCTCGCTCAAGGATGGCATCGACACCGGCACCGGCGGCACCGGCACCGCCAGCACCGGCACCGGCAACGTCCCGTCCGAGGGCGAGCCCGGCCCGCTCAAGGACGGCATTGACGCGGGCGGCGGCAACGTCGAGGGCGAGTTTTCGCCGATGACGTCCTCCGCGAAGGTCGGAATCGTGCCGGCTGACGACGGCCGCGTCACGCTCGTCATCTCCGCGTCGGTGTCGCCTTCGCTCCCCGGAGCCAAGGTGCGCGTGCGCACACCAGGATTATGATCCTCTCCCGTCTCCGAAAGCCTGCGCGTACTCTCCCTCGCCCACAGGCTTGCGGCGTCAAGAACGACGTCAAGGACATCTCCGTGGCGACGTCTGGCACGGAGGACGTCCCCAAGAAGGACCCGGCCGCGGATAAGGCGCCAGACGCGGGCGCGGTCGCCATGTTCGCCACCCACGCGCCGCGCCCGACCGCCGTTTTCTGGTCCAAGTTTACGCCCCCGACCGGCCCACCGACGCCCCCCACCGGCGCCGTCAAGGGCGCCCTCAAGAAGGACATCCCTGCGGCAGAGTCTGGCGCGGAGGCCTCCGTTGACGAGACCGGCGCCATCAAGAACGACCCG